ACCATGGGCACGCAGGTCACAAAAACACAGTCTAAAGATACGGGTGCTAAGCTACCGGCTCTAGACATCGCGCTCGACTACTCAACACCTGAAAGATACAAAGATAAACATCGGGGCGACGCCCGGTCAGCAAATAATGTTGGTAGCCCACCAATACCGTTAAGTATCATAAATAGGTAGATATATAATATGAAAACCATTTTCGAAACGGAATACATATATATAAGTTAAAAAAAAACCAAGATCACATGACAAAACAAGACTCACCACTCACAAGGACAACACCGGGAACACATCCCAACCACAAAGGTTAAACACACACAAGGATAAAGGCTCACACAACGGCAACACATGCCAAAACACCACAAGCCTCCGTGACTACACACGTCACGAGAGAAGAGAACTCACCACACACCGGCTTCACAAGCCCTCGTGACATCACCCATCACGAGTTGATATGCCTTCCTTATGCCCTGTTCCAACCTTATGGCTACCCCCATCCTTGTACCTTCGGTGCCAACCATTACCTCCGGAAAACCCCTGTACAGCCAAGTCCAACCTTATTCCTCCGGGACCGTCGTCCCCCACCTACAGACCACCAACGAAAACCCACCAATTCACGGCAACACATGCCCGGATAACACAATGTTATCCCCCAATCACGTGGACTCAACCATAACTCCATAAATTCACGTCACGGCCACCACGAGGACCGCTTCAATACCTTGGTGACTAGCGTCCCATACCACTAATCGTGCAATCCAGGTAGAGCCACACACGCACCACCACTCACACGAAACAATCAACGAATTGCGAAGAAGGTATGAAACACACTCGACAAGAGAAGGGTCATCACCCAACGACAACAACGACGCTAGCATTACGATAATAACTAGCAAGCTCAACAAAGAGGAAACTCAAGATAGTTCCGAGGAACACACAAGACACCACACGGTTCAACGAAACACAATGTTGAACACTTAGCACGATTCACAACACCAAAGATCCTACATGGATACCTATCATAAAGCTCTAGACCTACGAAACATCAAGAAGAGGCTTAAATAGTTCCACAAAAGAACAACGGGTGGCCAAAAGATCAAAGACCGAGACAAACAAAACACGGGAAACAAATCCCATCACCACACAAACATGTTCCCCGCGGGTGGACCCACGGGTAGTGCCCCACCCGTGGTCCCGCGGGTACATAACCCACAAGGCAACCGTTCCCCGCGGGTAGGCCGGCGGGTGGTGCCCCGCCCGCCGTTCCGCCCTCGGGTACGACCCTGTACCACAACAAATCCCTTCGGGAATTTTCTCCTCCAAACACAAATTCAAGTCCAAAACATGCCAAATCTCACCAAGCACAACAAAATGACTTGAACCAAGGAAAATGCCAAGCAATGGCACAAAGGAAACCTAAACACAAGATCTAGATATGCAATATCACAAGATAAGTGCATAAACTCTCACATTTCACAACAAAGAACAAGTAGAAGCCAAGAAATCATATATAGGTAAGCAAAATAGGTTTTGTAGAGCATGGGTTACCTCTTGAAGACCAAAAGACTCTTCTTACACCACAACAAGCTCTCCACTAAGCTCACTAGCCAAACCCACTTCAAGATCAAACCAAAAGATCATAAAGATCCAACCTTTAACAAAAAGACAACTAAGATGGAACCAAAAAGACTAGACAAGCTTAGATCTTACCCTTCTAGATGCCAAAATAGAGGAAAGATTGAATCTTGGAAGCAAAACTTGGAATCTTGACAAAGGCTTCTTTTGGCTTGAAGAACAAGCTACTCTTGTTTTCTAGAGAGAAGGTAGAGATATTTTCTAAGGAATGTAAGGGATGAAAAATGAAGAAGTCTTCTAGGTTTAGGTTACAAGACTAGCTCATGGTGAAAAGACAAGGTTACCATTACTAACTCTTAGCAAGTGTAAGGAACAAGGGAACTCCTCTCAAAGCACAAGGTACAACACAACTTAAAGATTGACTAGTCAAATTCTAGTCCTTGAGTATCAAAAATCAGGATTTTAGGAATCAATTCCTCAAAAGAAATAGAATTAATTACTAAATTAATTCATGGTTTGGAATATGGATTTTTGGGGTGTCACAACAGTTGTCACACATATCATTACAAGATCAACCCATCTGTCATAAAAACCAAGTGCCAGTAACATATTACGCAGAAAAGACCATTCCATACGGTCATAGGCTTTAGCCATATCCAATTTGAGAGCACCCCAGCGAACAGCCCCACACTGTTTTCTATTTAAAAAATTGCCAACCTCTGCCGCTAACAGGATATTATCTGCAATCAATCTATCAGGTATGAAGGCACTTTGTAAGTCAGATATGATTTCCTCCATGAGTGGCTTCATCCTATTACTCATCATTTTTGCCATAACCCTATAAACCACATTTGTAACACCCCTAAATTTCAAAACATTTAAAACTTATGGAATAAAGGCAAATCTATTATTAATTCCCAAACAGAGCATAAACTAAACATAATAGTCGGGGTGTTTTGCCACATCTGAGCTAGAGAACTCAGATGCACATGCTAAACTATCTTACAAAGCACAAACCACCATGAATATCCAAATGTAAATCAAGGCACGCAGGCCATCTCATGCATCAAGGCTAGAACTATCTAAACTAAGTCCACGAATCCGACTAGCGCGCTCCGGAGCTACTCAATTGGTCTTGAAAAACATTCGGTGTAACAACCGTCGGCGAATAATGTTGGTAACCCACTCCAATGCGTTAAGTACAATATAGGTAGATATAAGAAATCATTTTGAAACTGGAAGGCATATATACTTACGAGACGCTAATTTAAATCCATGATCAAGACTCAAGACACAACAATAGATTCAACAGTATAGAATAATCATAAAGACTAGCATGCGTCCTAAGAATCCGTCACAAGACATAATAGGCAGATAAGCATACAAATAGCAAGTAGAGACAACAAAGGCATTCAAGACAATCATTTGTCAAGTAATCATCAAGTCACACAATCCATCTTCCAACCTTATACCAAGTTCCAACCTTTTCACTCCACTCCATCCTTATATCAGTTCCAACCTGTACCTCCAGGCCACCCTTATATCGCCTCCCTTATTCCTCCAGGCAACTACATGCCCCCACCGACAAACCACCTTTCAACCACCAACATATCAAGATAGTGTCGTAGTGCCATTCGCATGATCCGTACTTTTAGTACCAATACCAAGGGGTCAGTGCATATAGCCCCGACATGGCACCGCAACACTTATAACCTGACCCATACTCAACGACAAGCAAGTCAAAGGTGGGTTTGTGCCTTTAGCACAGTAACCGCTAGGCCTGTACCTTTAGTACAATGACCGGGCATAAGTGGTGCCAATCGCCAACAATTCATTTCCACCGATCACAATCTCATCATCATCATTAGTCACATCGGCCATTGCGCAATGACCACGATACTGTATCCAACACCACCAGCGCCTCAACAAACACACTCCCCTCCTTATCCACTTGAGACGGCCCATCAAACGGTATCAGCCAATGCTCCCTGATCACCCTCGGTCCCCGACGTCCTCCCGCATGCAAATCTGTGGAGTACGGATATTCCTTGACCTTGATCATGGCATTACGTGCATGCAGACAAAACTTATACAGGTGGCCAAATAACCCGCAATAGAAGCAAAAATTGTGAAGTCGTTCATACTTGAACGAAACCCATCGAGTTGTTTTATCCCGCTTAACAAATTTCATTCTGCGCTTGATAGCCTTATCAACCGGGATAACCACCTGAATACGGTAGAATGATTTCCAGGGAGCCCCCGTTGTTCAACAATAAAAGAGCCAAGGAAATTCCCAATTTGTTCAAGAATTTTATCCGTTGTATATCCCAAAGGCAGATCATGTACCTAAACCCACATGTCCACAGAATCCAGAACGACATCCCCCGGTAGCATACCATCCACTACCTGCCTATAGACCAAAGTCGTGTTCTCGTACGCCCAAGGGCCATCTTCCACGACACGAACCATATCCGATTCATGGTAGAAGACAAACAAAAAAAGCTTTGGTTGGATCTCCGTTACCTAAACACCCATGACCGGCTGTCATACGAAAGCCAAAACTTGCCGCATGAACTGAACTTTGATTAGCTTGTTTGTCAAGAACCGCCCCACAAGCCTCCATGTCTGTCTTGCACCAGCCGCAACCTCATCGGCCTCCTCCACATCGGGTTCAAAAGCCAACTCCTCCTCCTCTTCCACCATATTCGACCACCGTGGGCCTTTTGCCGTCGTACCACTGCTCGACGCCGTGGTTGCCATGATGTTCCACACGTGAAAATGACTGCCGAAGCGTGCCTCTAACGCACGAGAAACCACCGGAATACACCAGAAAAAACAAGGGAAAGATAGAAACCCTAGTAGGGATGAAGAACTCTAGAGAGTCTAGAGAGAGAAATTTCGATGTGTTGCTGCAAGTAATTAAGAATCTGCTATATATAAAACTCCTGCTACTACTATGCCAGTCATAACACTAAGTCTTGATGTTTGTGACTTCAATTCACTATGATATCAACACTAAAGTCTTGTTGTGGTAAACTCCTAATTCCATCACATAGCGATTTTGTAGCAAACAAAAATTGAATGTCTAACTTACAAAATTGAAGAAACTTAAAGTTTTGAGGGTTTAAAATCTAATTATAAAATAGACTTTGACTCATCAAAATCTAATAACATTTTTTTTTCCTAACAAAGATATTTATTTTAGCCATATTTTGTGATGTTATTTCTATTGATTGAAATCATTGCATGGTATAATAGCGTATAGTATAGTAGTTTTATTCCAGTGTTGTTGGAAACAACATGAATTTTTAAGAAAAGATATTTATTATAGAAACTCAACAAATTATACTATGGACCACCATACAAATTAAAGTAGTCCACCTTACATGCTAGGCTATGGTATGATGATAGTAGAACCTTGATACACACAATACAAAACAAAATAGAATTACATGACTTGAAATATGAATACAAACACACAAATACACATTATTCAACTTTATTTAGAATGACATGGATCAGAGGTACTCCAATGGCCTTCATACTTCATGCAGCTCAAGAAGATGAGTTGATCCTATTTTCATGCATGGCCTTTAATTTATTAATCTTTATTGCTAAACGAAAATATAGTGTAATTTCAAATGAAAATATTAGAATAAGAATTATATTACCTTTTACTTCAATCTATCTAGCTCCCATGCCTCTTTTCAATTTGGCTCCATAGATCACAATGGCAGTGGAAAGCTTCTCTTTTTTGTCTTCTAAAAATTGGAAATATGAATGACGCCAAGAACGCTTGAGTATTAATGTTCCACTTACTCCCCAAAAGCCAAGAATGAATCCAAGTGCCATACTCACAAAGAAGTCAAAGTCCCAGATAATCCAATGTTCATCATCTTCAATTTCATCAATTCGTCCTTGTTGTGGAGCATTTCCAGGTTCACTTCTATGACACTTTGTTGGAAGTGGAGGCCATCGTAGTTTTGGATTTCCCTGATAAGCCTCACTGAATCCTTGCAACTGAGTGCCGAGTGGAATACAACCATACAAATTGTTGTTCGACAAGTCCAAGTGAGCAAGAAATGATATACTAGCAAGGCTCATTGGTATTGCTCTAGAAAGTTGATTGTTTGAGAGGTCGAGATTCTCTAGCGAGCTCATCTCACCAATCTTATCTGGGATGGATCCGGTCAGCTTGTTTCTTGACAAGTTTAGTGAATTAAGCATATGCAAATCAGTTATCTCAACTGGGATTTCTCCAACCAATTTATTGCTCGAGAGATCAATGAGTTTCATGAATTTGAGGTCCTTACCATACTCCACCTTTATACCCTTCCAAATAAGCCATTCAGAATCAAATAAATCTTCATTGAAAGAGTCTTCAATCCCATATTTTCTTTCAGAATTTCCAAAAGCCGTCAAGTTTGGCAACAATACTTCATCAATTTTAGTCATTAATGAATTCAAGCAAGTTGGAATGGATCCAGATATATGGTTTGAAGACAAATCTATTATTTGAATGGAATGAAGTTGGCAGATATTAATTGGGATTGATCCTTTTAGATCATTTGAATCCAGGCAAAGGATCTTCAGCAGTTTTAATCTTTCCCCAATCCATGTAGGAATACACCCAGTTAAAGAATTATTTCCAAGATCCAAAATGGCCAACGATGTGCAATTGTTTAGAGACACTGGAAATTCTCCATAAAACATATTGCTTCTCAAATGTAGTGAAACCATAAAGTTCAATTGTCCTATGGATGAAGGGATTTCACCAAACAAGTTATTGTTTGCCAAATTTAAACAATTCAAGCCATAAACTTTCCCCAAACAATCAGGAATCTCGCCGGCAAAGAAATTGTTTGACAAGTCATAATGATACAATATAGAACTATTTGTACACAGAACTGAAATGGTTCCAGAAAGCTTGTTTTTGGAAAGGTTCAGTATTGATACTCCCGAATAATTTTTTGATATAGAACCTTCTAGCAAATTGCTGCTGAAGTCTAGTAGATTCAAAGTTGATGGTATGTTTGGTAATTTTCCACGAATTCTATTTTGAGAAGCACTCAAAAAATCTAAGTTAGATAGGTTGGTGAGCCATTGAGGAATGAGATCTGAAATTTCATTATTTGAGACATCAAGGGTATCTAATTTTGTTTGTGTCTGAAGCCAATTAGGAAATTTGGTGCCCATCTTACAAGATCTTAGGCCTAGACCTCTTAATTGAAATGGGGGAATCCAATGGGTGCCTACATTCACTCTCAAAAAGTTATCGGATAGGACGAGCACCAATCGTTATGCGGTGCATCCGTATGCACCATTCTTGGTGCATCCGGATGCACACGACGTCGTTTAGGGAGTAACGGTGCCGTTAGTGGCACCGTTTCACTCCACCAATTGCCTCAAGTGAGCACCCAGGAGGGTATGTTTCCATCCACCTAATTTACTTAAATTTCATTCATTAATTTATGTTCTAATATTTTTTTATTTACTGTGCTGTAGAGAGACATTGTTCAAGTATAGTGATTATTACTTGTCAAGGGATGATTTTGCAACTATGTGCAATGGTGAGCTACTAAGCAGCTTCCTAGATGTCTGGTCCCTACGTTTTTCATTGCTAAACATGTCCCGTGCAGTTGGGGAGACAAAGCGGGTCTACTTCTCCACCCTAGTACATGTAAGTGTTCACAAAATTATGATATATATAGTTTTTAGATTATGAATATATAGATATTCAGTTCTGGATGTGTACATGTGAACCCCTGGTTTTATAGTTTTGTAATTCTGGAATTATAGTTATGCAATTATGGAACTATAGTTATAGAATTATGGAATTGCAGAAATGCAATTATGGAATTATTGATATGAAATTATGGAATTATATTTCTACAATTCTGGAAGTGTATATATATAATTCTGTATGTATAACTTTAACATTTTCAACAAATATTATTTGGGTGGTGACTACTCATTCCTGCATTTGTGTATGCAGCTTCAAATTGATCCCAATGACCAGTGGATGAAGGATCTCCCAGCTGATATAAAAATGAAGAATTTCAATGAGAGATTGAGCTATGAAATAACCAGCTTTGGGAACCTAGACATCAGTGATGCAGATCTGGTAAGTTCTATTACCCATGTCCAATTTGACTTTGACATGTCCAAAAAAATACTAACATTGCTTTAACTTTGAATTGGAATTAGATATTCTTCGCAGTTCATCGCCATGGTCACTACTTCTTGGTCTGCTTCAATGTAAAAGAACGTAAAGTGCAGGTCATTGACAACAAGGAGTTACCAGCTGATGTTTCAAAGAAGGACAAATATGGCAACTGCCCACACTTATTGGTAATTTTGATAAAAAAAACTTGACATTCTTACCATTACCTATCTATTTACTTAAAAGCATTATCAACACTAAACTAACTTTTCTGACCAGATTGAAGCATTCAGTGGTTACCTTAAGACCGAGTGCCCCACCTTGTATGTGAAGTTGCAAAAAGTTGCTATAAAGTACCTTAAGTTGGACTGGGCAAACACCGAAAATGTCACTGATTGTGGAATCTATGTACTCCGGCATATGGAGACATTCCGAGGGACTCTGCAAGACTGGCAGCCAGGATTCAAGAAGAATATGCGCTTGAATGTAAGACTACAATACATACTATAGTTTCAAAATACATTAAAAAATAAAAAATAAAACTGCAAATGAATAATTACTTAATGTTCTTTGTTTATAGGCAAGCTTCATATGCGAACTGCGAGCAAAATATGCTGCCAACCTCATAAAGTGGAGAATGAATGGTGTCAGGGGGGAGGTTCTACAAGCGGCCAAAAAGGTTTCCAAGAAGAATTGAATGAGTATTGTTCAACATGTTGACTGAATTCTAGACAATGTTAACGTTTCTGTGAACTACACTGACAATGTGACATGTATTTTGTGAATGCATGATGTTACTAGCTGAATAACAATTTACATCTGATCTATGCACCTCTTTCTCTTTTCTATTCTACTATAATTCCATAATTGCATAACTATAGTTCCATAATTGTATAACTATAATTCCATAATTTCATAACTATGAATCCGTAATTGCATATAAACAATTCCATAATTGCATAACTATAATTCCATAATTGCCTAACAACAATACCATAATTGCAAAACTATACATCCATACTTGCATAACTATACACCACAATTTCGTACCTACAAATTCCATAATTGCATAACTATAATTCCATAATTGCATAACTATAGTTCCATAATTGAGTAGCTATAATTCCATAATTTCATAACTATGATTCCATAATTGCATATAAACAATTCCATAATTGAATAACTATAATTCCATAATTTCATAACTACAGTTCCATAATTGCAAAACTACATATCCAGAATTACAAAACTATAAGTTCAGAATTGCATAAAATCAATGATAACAACTTGTATTTCTCAATCTACTACTATACTGTCATCTAAACCCTTACTAAACTGAACAAAATCTGAACTCGAAGAACTTGGATGTACGAGGTATCCATCCCCAGCAAGCTTTGATATGTTTTCCAACACCAAAGACTGAACAACACCCTTTGTACTCAATGCAGCTTTATTTGCAGCACTCCTTCTCCCCCTTGCAAGACTGTACTTCTTTTCAATAACACCAGTCCTCCTTTTGTTACGCTCACCTTTCAATCTCCGGCTTGAAGGATTTTGAACACCACCACTTGAAGATGAAACACCACACTCTTCAATATGCACATGCCCAACCTCGGCTTCAACATTTTTCTTTACATCATCAACAGCTTCATCACACAATTTCCTAGCTACACTACTATCTTGACTAGACACAACTAATCTTTGAAATTTCCTACTAATATCGAACACCCAAATTGATGGAGGACACCAACATTATAAACCATAGAATCAGTGTTGACATTCCTCCCATCAATAACCTTTTTAGTCCATCTTTTAAGGATATATTTGTCGGGGATACTAGAAACACAATGTACATGAAGAATGCGTAAACAATGACAACATAACATTCCCAACTCAGAAATCAACTTGCAACTACAAGAAATGTCCAAGTTAGCTGGGTTAAAACTAACCTCGTGCCTTATAATATCTATATCTGGTCGCCACACGTGATATTTCTGTTGATGTCCATCATTCACAACCATCTCTTGGTGACAGGCACTGCCTTTCATGAATTGTTCCTCAAACAGAAAATATATCTCAATCGTGTATACCTCTCTAGCATGTGAAAGAAGTTTCACATGCTCCATCATCATAGCGGGTACCCCTTGAGCACACCGAAAGTCTTCACCGTTCTCTTTACTTCTCCATTCAGAAATTACGCTTACAAACGATGAATAGAAATCACAAAAACCCGCTGTCTTGGACAACCTTCTATAAATCGAATGATTTGTAGTTTCACTCCTTTGTGATGATAGAATGCCCCCAGAAAAATAGTCTTTGTTAAACGCTGGACACCACTTCTCCCTACAGTCATATAGCTTTTCTAACTAAGTATTCTTGTGACATTTATAGTCAGTCACCAACCTGGAAATGGTAAGACAGAGTGTTTATGAAGCAGAATATTAACAAGCAGCATCACCACATCTAACACATACTCATAATTTCTACAGTTGTATATATATAATTGGAATACTATATGTCCATAATTGATAGACTATATATCCATAATCCATACTACTACATTTCCAGACACCACCAGTAAGTTCAACTGTTATATATCCATAATCGATATACTATATATCCATAATCGGAATACTATATATCCATAATCCATATACTACATTTCCAGACACCACCAGTAAAGTTCAACTGCTATATATCCATAATCGAAATACTATATATCCATAATCGATGCACTATACATCCATAATCCATAAACTACATTTCCAGTGACCACCAGTCAGTTCACCTGCTATACAACCATAATTACTATGTTATACATCCATAATAGATAAACTATACATCCATAATTCATATGCATATGAAACGTAATCCAATAAAAACGATTAATTACTAACATACCTTGTCCAATAGAATTGAAATTCAGCTTCGGTCTCTGTGTATTTCAACACGTAGTTAAACATATCCAAGAAATCCTTACTGTTCCTTAACGTCTTGATATGCTTCTTTGAATTCTCACCAATATGCCATATGCATAGACGATGACGTGATGTTGGAAACACTTTAGATATAGCAGCAGCCATAGCTGCATATTGATCTGTCATAATAGTCTGTGGAGACTTGCCACCCATCGATCTTAAAAACGCTTTGAACAACCACACAAACGATTCTATCCTCTCGTTCATCAAAAACCCGCATCCAAACATTACGTTCATGCAATGGTGATTCATCCCTACGAAAGGGCCACAAATCATATCGTATTTGTTTGTGCGATATGTCGTATCATGCACTAACAAGTCCCCAAACACCTCGTAATCTCGTCTCATTTGACCATCCCTCCAAAAAAAACTGCACAACCTTGCATCCAAATCAAGTTCAAAATCAAAGAAAAAATCAGTCTCGGTAGACTGCCTCCTCCTAAAAATTTCAATTAACGAGTTAGAATCCGTTCCATCCAATCGCTTGACAGTATCCGCAGCAATTGAATTATAAGCATCTCTACTAGTGAACCCAACTAAAGGGGACCCCCCTGATTGGTGTTTTAGGAACCTAATACCATCTGCCAATGCAACACCACTGTCCTTCAAACCTTGTAAATATAAGAGCTGATTATCTCCAACACTCCTAAGTGAACGAAGTAGATGACTCTTGTTGAACACACATAGCTCGTGATTGTGCACTTTCTCGTGTTTTGTAACTGTCCACAACCCATCATCACCCACGTCAAATTGAACAAACGCTCCACACCCTGTCCTTGTGTCAATTTTGGAATAAGCCTTAACCCCACTGTTTGCCTTATAACCAGCCTTAGAACAACAAAATTTCTTCATTTGAATTGTGTTCGTAGCTCCCTTGTATCGTTGATGACCCTTCCTCACACTAAAACCAAGTCTATATGCATAACTGTTATACACCTCAAAAGCCTCATCAGCATTACTTACTACCAAACCAACCAAATCTTGATCAACTGCAAATATAACACAATAATAACCATTTCCATTAACATATAATTCCTAGCCAGGATTTGCTAATTAAAAAGGTAAACCACTACGAATAAACCTGGAATTGATGAAGATCCATCAACATCTACATCTACATCTACTTGATCTGAACTCACTGAACCATCCACAATGCCTTCACTAACTACATTATATAGACATGGTGAACGTTACTTCAAGCAGTTCATCAAACAGCAAAAGCAGAGTGCCTACAGATTCTGTATATATAGTTATATGATTATGGACATATAGTTATACAATTCTGGATACACAGTCGCAACACTGTCAAAACAGAGTACCCGCTAATTCTGAATATATAGACATGCAATTCTTGAAATATAGTTATGAAATTATGGAAATATTGTTTTCAAATTCTGGAATTGTTGTTATACGATTATGGAAATTACTTACGTGATTTTGTATACATATTTGCACAACTATTTGCAGATTCTAGACACAAACATCACTGCTACTCACATAATCATACAAACAACCAAAAGGAACAATTGCAAGAACGATAACAAGCTCACCTTGAATCGAATGCAAATCGCCAACTCCGGAATTCATCTGCTCTGTTCCATCCTCCATCTAGCGATCACTTTCTAATTCCCGATCCCCACTCCGATTCCGAATTGCGATTGCGATTTGCGAATGCGATTTGCGAATGCGAATGAGATTGCAATCGCAATTCCGGTGATGTCGAATGCCAGTACCACAGCGAACAACTGCCAACGATCGAGTTTGAAACTTGGAAACAAAAGGAAGTAAACGCCGTTAACGGAATTTTTTTTTAATAAAACGCCGCATCATTAGGCTAAAACGACGTCGTGTGCATCTGTATGCACCTTGCATGGTGCATACAGATGCACAACATAATTTGCCGACGAGCACATCCAACTTGCTAAAATTAGAGAAGCTGATTTCAGAGATGGTTCCATTTAAAGTATTTGAAGAAACATCTAGAAATTTGAGATTAGAGAGGTGGCCAATGTTACATCCCATTAAGTTTCCATGGAACTGATTTTTGCCAATTGCAAAAACTTCTAAGGACAACACTGTTGACATGTCAGGCAGTGAACCAGAAAGTCTATTCTTCCCCAAGTTTAATACTCTTAAGGAATTAAACTTTTTGATTCACTACTGAAAATTATGGAATTTCCGACCACCTGAAAGTGATCTTAAATCAAGTCGAAAGCTTTGTTCCGACCACTTTTGGTATCCAGAAAAACTTTTGTTGCTATTTCCGACCACTTTTTGGTATCAACTTGATTTAAGATCACTTTCAGGTGATCGGAAATTCCATAATTTCCAGTAGTGATTTCATCTAGTGATCCGAAAATTTTGTTATCACTCAATCTCAAAATCTCTATCAATTCCTCAGAACCTAAAATGAGTTCTGAAAAGTTGAAAGAAAAAAAGTTGGATGATAAATCTAGAGTTCTCAAATTTCCAAGATGCCTCAAGAATTTGATGTCCTTCTCGCCACCTACCAAAGAATTATAGGAGAGGTCAAGATATTCAAGGAATCTAGAAGAGTTGATGTGCAAAAGTGATGGGGAACTTGGAAGGGAGCAGGAAGATAGGCTTAGTGTTGTCAGCAAAGAATGCTTAGAAATTGAGTGAAGCCAATCTGAAACAGAATGAAGGTCTACCCAATCCATATTGAGATACTCCAAGGAAGAAAGATGAGAAATCCATTCCAAGGTGTCAACTACTTTTAAATCTTGATTACCATCAAAGTAGTTGTTGCCAATGTCAAGATATTTCAAAGTGGAAATATTTCCCAGATGAGGAGGAACATTTCCAAACAACTTATTATGAGAAAGATTAAGATAGACCAAGTTGTGGAGAGAGCCAATGAAACTCGGAATTGTTTCAAAATCATTGAAACTAAGATCCAAGAAATTGAGAAACGGTAAATGAAGAGGGGAAGGGCTGATTTCACCTTGTAAGCGTGGGTAGTAGCATGATGATCCATCTGTACACAAGCCTGGAGCCTGGAGGCCCCAAATGAAGAGCAACAACATGGGCAGTATTTGTGTTATCGCAACCAATTCCTTTCCATTTGCAGCAGTCATCATCATCTCTACTGGCCCCCCATGAAGAAAGAAGGTTGTAAGGGTCGGAAATGCCATGTTTGAAGTTTAGAAGAGCTTTTCTCTCATTGTCTATGCAACTTCTACTTCCATTGAAATATTGAATAATTAAAAAGAACAGAAAGCATGGGAGAAAAGAACCACAAATCCTCATCGGGATTGGATTGTTTTAGTAGTACGTATAGTTTTTTGTTGTAGAAAAATGCTTGCTCTACTAACTACTCCAATTAACCACTGCACTATATATAATTAAGTAGTTAGAATATATAGTCAATAGTCCACCTTATTAATAATTATTATTATATAATTAATACGGAGTAATAAATTACTCCACCGTGTTAATTTTTACATACAGTAATAAATTACATATAGTTGGACTGTTTGGAGTATATAGTCAATAGTCAATAACTACTCCAATTAACTAGTGCACTATATATAAGCATTTGGACTGTCTGTTTGGAGTATATGTAGTCAATAGTCAATAACTACTCCAATTAACTACTGCACTATATATAAGTAGTTTGACTGTTCGGAGTATATAGTCAATAGTCCACCTTATTAATTATTCTTCTCAAAATGTTGAATCTCTAACCCCAAAGCTCCCCCACACCCCGCCCCGACAGAGCATATGTAAGGATGTAAATCATGGTAACTCAACTGAACAGGCTAGACCTTTCAACTAAGCTGCCCATGCGCGCACCACCTTATTAATTATTAGTTGGAGTATGATTGGCTCATATTTCAATTCAATTCATATCCATGGGGAGAAATTTGGAATGGTGGCATTCATCCTTGAAACTCATAACCATACATATTGAAAGTTCTTCTTTGGGTAGACCAAGTACGTATAGTACTTGATCTATAATAGATGAACCGAGCAAGGTGTCTTCATCTAAAAATCCCAAACAAGACTAAGCATTTAGCACTTGAGCACTTAAAGGTAAATAAAAACGAAAAAGAGAGAAAAAAAATTAAAGAAAGAAAGAAAAAAAACCTAGTCTCGTAGAATAGTCATTCACTAATTCAATGTTAACTATTACAAAACAATCAAAACCAAACGATTCCGAGCAACGACGCCAAATTTGATAAGATATTTTTTACACAACTATCAAGTATCAAATTACAGTATAGAGGTAAGATATCGTTCCATTTTGAATCAGAGATGACTCTTTTAATGTTAGAAATTGATACAAAGTGGAGTTAAGCACAAATAACTAAGTAAGGAATGTAAGGGAAATGAAGGGCGTCTTTTGGGGTGGAAGAAATATCGTTTAAAACAAGGCAAAAAGAAATTTTTAAAAGTTGCAGGAGGGCACGAGCATCGTGTTGGGCGTCGGTCGGGTTGGCCGAGTTCAGCCCTTACTCGATTCGAGACGTGGCGTTGTGGCTTACCATGGAGAGATGTGGTTAAATGGTTAATGTCCACCTGCTTATCACCAATTGGTTTTAAGTATGATATAGCAACCAGGTACCATAGAACTTTGTGGTTAAGCGTGCTTGATTTCCCTGGGAAGTAAGCATACTGTAGCGTTGAGATCCATCAATTGGTATCAGAGCCGAGGTCACGGGTTTGAATCGATGGCGAGGAAATTGACATGTCAAGCAGTGAACTAGAAAGTTGATTATTCTCTTACAACACATTTCGTTATAAGAATCGTATTCTATTGTTTTTTTTTTTTTTTTTTAAAGTTTTTTTTTTTTTTTCATGCCAAACAAGGTTCTATACAGATAAGGGCCATATGGCCTTACAGATTAAAGCAAAATGGCCATTTGGCCTTACAACAAAATAAAGCTACAGAGGCTACAAGCCAAGACTAAACGCAAACCATTAACCAAGGCCGCAACCCTGATCTACTTCCGGATTGCTTACCAAGTATGGCTTCCCCCACCTCCATTCATAGCACCCTCCATTCTTGTCTTTCATGTCTGTGCATCATTGGTCCATCCCTTCCTATCATCTTGCCATTGGTCTAGTGTTTCTTGCCTCATTCCAGCAAACCCATCATGCTTATAAGAAGGTCATGAGCAATGCCCCTAGATGAGTCACCCTATGCGAACCCTACGCCCCCACCCCTAAAGCGCGAGGTCAACCCCCCCGCACGGCAAACCGTGTTTTAGCCGGAGGGGTCACTTATGCCCCCACTAAAGGCAATGGGACCCACCCTTAGTCCACAAGATGATACCCCTTATTGATACCAAAGTACTTGCATAAGGGGATCATTTGACCTTGTGAGCTAAGCAATGGTAGCCTAGAGCCTCTACCCTTAGGGTGCGAGCCAGCTCAACCCCGTACAGATCTCTGCATTTTTACCGGGGCAAGCTTATGTAGTTCAACACCCTAAGCAATAGAGAAGCTCCACCACCAAACCATCAATCCATCACCCTAAGCAAGCACTCATTTTCCTTTTCATTCTCATTTTCATTTTCATTCCAGCATGCCTTCTTTTTCCTTTTTCTTGTTTTAAATCCAACCAAACTGCCATACCCAGCATCCACACAGAGATCACATCCATGGGCATTGCAGTCCTCTTATTTTACAATCATAGAACAACCAACAGACTTCAAACCCCCAAAAGACATAGCCAGGAACCCCCATCCTTGGCTCACAAGATGGAACCCCTTGTTGGTACAGCTGCACTTTCACAAGGGGACCATTTAGTCCCATGAACCAAGCAATGGAGCCCAAGGATGAACCAATGATGTCTAGACCTGCAAGCCAAGTAAAACCAACAAACATTCCACAAACCAAAGGGGAAGCCACACTTACCAAGCAAGCCTTGGCAGATCAGGGCTTTAACTTCAGCATCAGGTCAGTCTGTAGCCTTCCTCAAGCTTCTGCAACTCCAGCTCTAGTTCATATCCTGTAGAAACCCTCAGGTGATTTTCTGCAGAATGCTGGAAGTCCATCAGAGACCATCAAAGTGCAGTAGTTCCACTAGGGTCCCATTGTCTCCTTGCTCGAGGCAACACGCTAATCACATCAATCCCAGGAAGCATTATGAAATGAGGAATGCCCTCAAGGGCAAGGGTCAGCTGTAGTGCCTTTGGTAGGGCTTCAGCTTTTAGAAAAACTAAGTTTTGCCCTCTGCACTTTTCCAATATCCAATGTGCAACACAGTTAACCTTAGGATTACACATCAGCCATGCCACTGTGAGCTCACTTGGTTGCCTTTCTCTCTCCTCCATCAAGTTGAAATCAGACTCCACTTGGATTTTTGCTATCCTCTTCCTTGTGCACCAACTCCAACAGTCCTCTAGAACCTGCCTCAATGTGTTACCAGGTCCTGTGTAGTTTCCAGCAAGAACAAACTCACCCTGAAAATTCCTTAAGTAAAAACTGCAACCTTCCCCTTCAACAGCTATGTTAGCTTTCACCCATCCACTAGGAGGCTTATTCCAACTCAGGCTTCTCACCACTCTTGTGCACCCAAAACCCCTTGCTCTTTTCAAAATGTAGTTCCAATTTGGGGGAAAAGGGTCCCATGCCGGCCA